CCCCCCCCGCCAGAGCACCTTGGACTGAGAATGGTTGAGGCAAGGCTGAATTGCTTGGAGCCAGAAGAGGGGGAATTAGGTCTGTTCTGCAGCAACTTCCTACAGATCCAGACTCGCCTTGCATGGTTTATGAAATAGATACAACCATTGCTGAAGAGGGTCCACCTGCCTCCAGCTTCCCAGACCAGACCCAGAGACACCATGGAGAGTTCCGTATCAGCTCTAGAATTTCAGGTGAGGGTGACAGCCCTTCTACACAGAAGAGTTTGGGGGACTTATTTCTAAAAGGCTACTGGAGTTACAGCCTTACTGAACCTGTTTCCCCCTGCCCTGCCCTCAATAAAAGAAGGTTTTCCAGGAGACCTTGAAATCCTGACCCCACTGATGCCAACGAGAAGACTCTCCTGTGCTGTGTTGCTGAAAGCATCTCCCTTACTAGAAGGCTGTCCATGTGTGCACTCATTTGGAGAGGGTGTCCTGGTTTCGGCTGGGATAGAGTTAATTTTCTTCCTAGTAGCTGGCATAGTGCTGTGTTTTGGATTTAGTGTGAGAAGAATGCTGATAACACACTGATGGTTTAGTTGTTGCTCAGTACTGCTTATGCTCGTCAAGGACTTTTCAGCTTCCCATGCTCTGTCAGGGCCACAAGAAACTGGGAGGGGGCACAGCCAGGAGAGCTGATCCAAACTGGCCCAAGGGCTATTCCATACCATACAGCGTCATGGGCAGTATAGAAACTGGGGGAAGCTGGCTGGGGGGCAGCGATCGCTGCTCAGGAACTGTCTGGGTATCGGTCGGCGGGTGGTGAGCAATTGTATTGGGCATCACTTGCTTTGTATAGTATTATAACTATCATTATTATATTATTATTACTATTCTACTTTACTTTATTTCAATTATTAAACTGTTCTTATCTCAACCCAGGAGTGTTTCATCACTCTTACTCCTCCGATTCTCTCCCCCAGCCCACTGGGGTAGGGGGAGTCAGTGAGTGGCTGGGGGGGGGCGCGGTGCTGGCTGGGGTGAAACCACGACAGAGGGTTCCCATTTCATTACAGTAGAGCTCCATTTCTCGGCCCACAGAAATGGGGAACTGGGCATAGTCCGCAAGCCCTTCTCACCCTGCATGCAGGCTGAGCCTGTGCCCACTGTTTCCTGGACAAGTCAAACCCACTGCTTGGAGATCACCTACCCACTGCTTGCGCAAGAGCAGGCTTATCCCAAAACTGGTCAGAGCAAGGCAAATGGTGAAAGCCACAAGACAGACAGGGAGACATACCTTGCCTGTGAATAATGTCCACCAGAATATCTATCACTATGATGGTGCCTGTGCGTCCTATTCCAGCACTGGAAAAAGAAAAGAAAAAAAAAAATCATTGCAGGAGGAAACATTCCCCAGAGTTTGTCAGCTCAGCTCCAACACTCAGCTGCACGCCTGGTCCATCCTGGGCAGATTTGGAACGGCTGCTATAAGATAAGCGCAGCCAAATGATGACCCTTAGGAGATCAGAGCCTGGCAGGCTGCAGCAGAGCTGCCAGCTCCAGATCAGGCCTGCTCTCCCCTGTGCTATCACCAGTGAGGATCTGGAGGAGGGCTGCATTTTCCCATGTGTATACTTATATCCCAGTTGCCCACCATCAGCTCACATGATGACCCAGCTGCAGGTGTAACGAAAAAGGAGACGCGCACATTTCTATTACCCATCTCTACTGCAGCGCCCCGCTGACAGCCCACTTGTTCGTACCTGCAGTGCACTATGATCGGCCCCGTGTCTGGAATGCTTTGCTGTGCCCGATTCACTTGGTCCAGAAAGCTCAGAACCCCTCCTGGTTCATTGGGCACCCCGTGATCTGGCCAGCTAAAATACTGATAGTGCTTCACCAGTCTCGGGCGCTCATCCTGCAAGGAGCAGAGACCCACCAGCTAGTCAGAAAACCCCACCTACTAGGAGGCTTCGCCTTCCTTTCTTTTTATCAAAGCTGGGGCAAAGTGGCCCAGAACTTAAGCAATGGGACCATTCAGTAAAAAAAACCAAACAGAAAAGCCACAGCTCCCTCCCTGGGGGTTCCAGCACCCAGCACCGTGGGCAGACAGCCGCAGAGGACTCACCCTGTCAGTCCGCAAGATCTCCAGCTCCCGGAGGTAGTAGCCCTGGGCCTCACGCTCGCTCACGTTTCGCACACAGATGCACCCGTATTCTTTAGTGCAACTCTTGTCTGGCCAGTAGCGGAAGCATTTGTTCTGCAGCAACATCAGATAGCTGCTCATTAGTCGAGACTGGGGAGCGGGAGGATGAACCCCTGAACACCTTGCTCAGGGATGCTGCTGCATTCAAAGGGTGTGTAGCCCCAGCGTAGAGGTTTAAAGGAGAGCCATACACACAGAGTATTTCCTTTGAACTAGGGATGTACCGGAAAGGGCCATTGCTATATGAAGGACGTGATCCCTAGGGTAATCTCCCTCCTCAGCTAGCCCCAGCCTCAGGGAGGCATTGCTTTGCCAAAGGCATAGCCTTGACACACAGCACCCGAGCTGCTGGTCTGGTCATTGCCTAACTCCTGAGCCAAATCTCCACGCCAAGGGGCTACGCAGTCTGCCTATATCCCTCCTGTCCTCCAGCCCATCACCTCTTTGCTATAGTGACTTTGCCAATACAAAAGAAGGCTTGCAAGTAGAGCTATCTTTATCTCATTTCTGCACTAGGCTGCTGCAAGCACAGCCTCCCCCTCACTCCTAAGCAAAACTGCTAGTGCCAGTCATAATTGGATCTTCTGTTTACTAGGGAAGGCTGTTCTGCTAAATGGCTCTGCATGGAATTTTACTGTATTCCTTGGCCCCTACCAACCCACTCTTAGTGAAATGCATACTGGTGGTACACAGATAGGTTGGATAATTACTTTTGTCCCTCACACAGCTTGCGACACCGCCCCCCCCCCCTACACTTTCCAGCTTGCTGATGCTTTCTCTCTCTCTGCCACCTGCAATTGTGGCCTTGAAGCAAGTCACATGAGGGACACTCCATAAATATTTATGGGGCTGGGGAGATGGGCTGTGCAGAGCAAAGTGCTATGTTTCTTTCATGAAGAAGAGCTAAAGCAACATTACAAGACAGAGGAGAAATTAAATGAAAGCTAGCCAGAGACCACTTAACTAAAAACTATTAGTACTAGCAGCAGGTAAATTTCAGGCTTGGGGACAGTGCCCTACAAGTGCTCACCCGGCCCCTCTCCACCTCCTTGGTTGTCATGACAATGACGTGACTGTTCTCTTGATACACCATGGCCCAGAAGTCATTCACTGTTGTCTGCAGGCAGCCCTGGGTGGCAATATAGATCTTGCAGTGCTCTGAGTTCCTTCCGTCTTCAGGGATGCTCTGAGGAGCAAAGGAAGGGGCGGGGGGGGGGAAGCCAACGATGCTGGAGTGAGGAACTGAGAATTGCTTTAGTGCACCTTTAGAAGGCAAGTCAGCACACCTTGCCACTCAGGATTTCTGAGCTAGCTGATTTTCCTCTATTCATCAGACCTGCAGACACGAACCGCTCTCATCACCAGCTTCAACAGAGTCGCCAGCAAAACGGTCTGCCTGCCTCCAGGGACCTTTACGCTGCTGTAACGCACGTTACTGCGCAACAGACTCCTGCCAGCAGGCAGCTGCAGAAGTTGCAGGTGGATGTGGCTGGAATGAAGCCACCTTGAAGGTTTCTCAAAGGCTGCTGCTCAAGTGCCAGAGCAACATTGCTGGAAATGCAGCTTCAAGCAGCTCTTAGCTTACAGATGACAATTATAATTTGACCTCAGAGATAATGTTCAATGACAGAGAGTCTGGGTCAGTCCCCTAGGACCTCCTGAACAGGTAAGGAAAGGAGGGGGATTGAGATAAACTCTTAGATGGGGGCAAATAGGACATGATAGAACGATGAGATCCATTGGGATACAGTAGAAAAATCCAGCATTTGGCCTGGACCCAGTGAAAGATACTGGTCCTGACAGGCCATTCCCTCAAGACTTACACCGTTACTGCACTTACCCACCAGAAACCTAGCACTGGGCTGAAGACAGCCCCCACATGGTGTCCTCCCTTTCCCAAGTACCTTGATATAGTTGGCATTGATGTAGTCTGACCCAGGCACGCTCTCATCTACGTCTCGGAGTGCCACCCGCGTGGTGTCAACTGAAGGAGAAGAGAGGCCAGAATGAACACAGGCATAAATGACACACAGGAGCACGGACGGGCTTTGCTGCAGGGCAGTCACAGTGGCTCCCAGCAAGGGCTCCAGCAAGGCTCTTACTATGAAGTCACCTGGGTAGCTACTACAAAAGAGGGTGTAAAATGCTCTCCTAATGACACTTAGCAGTACTGCATGCTACCTGGATCACAGCTATGTTGCCAGTCTGGTCTCGTGGATGGACGTTAGTGATGCACAGTGTTGCAGATTAACCTGAGTTCAAGTTCTCCAGTATTTCCTTTGGAGGCTCTAGCTCTGGCTGCATACAACTTCTGAACAACACTTGAGCTCTGGAAGTGTATTTGGACTCACGGCACAAAGAGAGGAGAGCAATTTACCAGTTTCCCATGCAAAAGGGAAGGACCAGGTTAGAAAGGGGATGGAGAATGCCATGGACTAACTGGACCACTCTGCTAGGACAGCGTACGCCTCTCTCCAACTCAGCTATGATCAGAAAGCTCTGCAGGGTTAACTATCCCCAGAGAAGGCTGCAGAAATTGTGGTGGAAAAAAACCAAACCAGTATTCAGTGTCTCCTTACAGGGAAGGATGTTCTTGTAGCGATTCTTAGCTTTGTTCTCTGGTCGCTGTCCCTCCTTCCTTGGGTAGAGGAGCTTGCACTCTTGCTGCTGCAGCATCTGTGGAGCAGAGTACAAAAGAACAAACTGTTCTGGGCAGACAAGGGGAGTCAGAGTCAAAGGAAGGGCTCTTTCGACTAGCTGCTTGGCTTCCTAATGCAGAGAAGAGCAGAGGGCGTGCTGGCAGGAAGGGAAAGGGAGCCAAGAGGCAGCTTGATGAGAGAGTTAATGGGGGGAGAAGGCACAAATCCCTGCAGGGAACAAAAGGCACGCAGTTCTAGGATGAGGAAGGAGAAACTGCCTCGGACATGAGAAAAAGCGATGAAAAAAAGGACCAGGAAGTAACTCAGTTGAACATGGAAAACAGGGAAAGGAGAAACAGTGTTGAGAAGAAGTCCCCAGTGTTGGAAAACCATGACACTCCCATGCAAATACGATATTCTTCACCCACAGGCACAAGTGGGACAGAGCACAGGAGCATCCTGTACCTCAAACTCTTCCCAGAACCCTTGCTTGGCCTTCTCACTGTGATCTGCCATTTTGTTCAGCTCTTTCACTCTGTTTTCAATGTTAGCTGCGTTGATGCGCGTGGCATTGAATGGCTGAAAGACAGATGAAGACAGAATAGAAATCACTTTCAGTAACAGAAAGACAGATAATGTTCCCCTTGAAAAAAAACAGTTCCTGAAACCCTGGGGGTATTTGCAGGAGTTGGGTCCATTCCTGAGGCCTTGAGTGCAGGGCCAGGGACCTCTCTGGCAAGTGTGAGCTTGGACAAGCATGATGAGTAGCCAGCGGGATGTTCTGGGGGCAGGGACTTCCCAAAGAGCAGGGGCAGATCTGTGCACTCCCCCAGGAGTCTGGGCAAGCCCAGAACCAACACATACGTGCTAGAGCAGCTATTACCTGCTTCAGATGAACCACAGCTCCAGATTTCTCCACCATGGGGTTTTTCTTGTAGTGCTCTACCAGGTCCGTGAGCGTGTCAAACCTCTCTCCCCCTCCAACGTCATACTTCCCGTCTGGCTGCAGGAGAGAATGACAAACCCACAGCGAAACTCGAATGCACAGCTCCCAGCTGGGTCACCCACCCAGCGCCCATGGCAGGGCGAGCAGGGACAGCACGTTTCCCACCTGGTAGTGGATCATCACGTGGGTCACATGTGGTTTACGGTCTCCAGTCTCCATCTTATCCTCATTTGTCAGCACCGACAATACAAAGTCTCCTGGTTTGCTCTGGCTCTCCCGCACCAGAAAGCTGCCCGGTTTCCCCTTCTCTGTCAGAAGCTTCTCTGCCTCCTTGCCAGTGAGGTGCCCATGGTACCACCTTGGGGAGCAGCAATGGAGAGCAAGGTCAGCTCAGAAACGCACAGAGCATTGCTTTTGGACAAGAGCTACACTCACTGCTGGGGACGGTGTTCATGGGAGACCCATTTCCAGGCTCCCAGTCTGACTGCTCTCCCCACTGGCATGACACCGGCCTCAGTTATTTTAGAAAGAGTCCCCAGTGACTTTCCTCCAACACCTTGCAATGTCACATCAATACCTTAGCCTGAGGCGGGAAGTGACTTTGCTCAATCCTCCAGCCAAATGTGAAATGGCATCAGTATATTAAACTGCCACGTGATGTACGACAAGCACTCTCATCTAGGGATAGCTTCCGACGAAGCTATAAGAAACATGATTCTGGCCATTCTCACTTGAAGGTGGCTATGTTTTCCTTTATTTTTTCAATATGGAAGAAAAAGCAGAACACTTGGAGTCAGCAGGCTGTAGTCAGACAGTATCAGACACAGAGCATGGCCAACACTGGCCAGGAACAGGATGCTTTGACACAGTTTGGGAAGGATTTTCAGAAGGATCCTCCTAGCTGTAGTTACTGCTGCTCCCCTCCCAGGTCACCAACCGCAGCTCGGGTCCGGCTGAGGGATAACAGCTCTGCACGCTCACCTGGAGTGGCAAAACCGGGTTCCCCACCGTGCCCAGGAGGCCTCTCCCCCTCCAGCTCTGCCTACAGCCGCGTCTCCGGGCAGCAGCGATTACAAAGCGCAGAAGTTTGTGCTCAGCTCTTCCCAAGCCTCGCTGCGCAGGCATGAGTTGCTCCACCTCTCCGTCTGCGTACATCTTTCACGTGCGCGCCCCTGTTTCTCCATCTGATCTCTCATAATCCTTTCTCTTGGTCTGCTGACATACTTACGCTGCGGTCCCAGTGATACGCAGGCTCCCCTTCAGCCGGCTGGGTCAGAAGCCTGTAGCGGCCCTGCCACAATGCCGTGGGGTTAAGCACACAATAATCTGCCCATTCCTGGGCACGTCCTCTGCAGCTCAGACTGCAGCACTGTTGGGCTAGCTCAGTGCTCTGGCCAGGCAGCTCGCCCGGCCTTTGCTGCACAGCGAGGCAGCACGTCTCACCCGCCCGCACAGCGGCTCCCCGGGGCGGGCGTGCTTCACGGGCTAGCACTCCGCTACAGCCTTCCGGAGATACAAATAACGCTTTGGAGGGAAGCGGTGTTTCTTTTTGCCTCGGAGCCTTCGATCCCCGCACTCCATCAACGCTCAGCCACGGCTCTGGGCAGATGCCACAGGTCCCACTTTGAAGACACTGGCTCCTGGCCGGCCAGCCAAGCTGCCAGGAATTCAGAGAGGCTCAAAATAACCTTCCAGGGGCAATGCGAAGGCATCACGTCACGTCTCAGCAACTTTGTCCCAGAGGACAAAGTTTATAGAACAGCAGTCAGCGATGTTGGGCCTTTTGACTCAGCGTGCTGCAAAGGCAGCCATTTCAAGCCTGATTGGGAAGATCTGGAAAGAGCAAGATTCCTTGCTGCAGGCTTGGGAAGGCATTAGGATCACGGGGCTGCACGAGTCGTACGGCTGCAGAGGGCAGAACGCCCACCTCTGGTGAAGCACCTCAGCACCTGCTTACAGCGCTGCTGCTATTTCGGCCCAGGTCTTGGAAACACTGCTACCCTGACGCACGCCGCTATATTCTGACACCGTCATCATTTTGTATATTTAGAGGACTTGGACCTTTTCCCCCCTCTCTTCTCCCTGATGCCACCAGATGTGTGGTCTGGAGCAGAAATCTTCATGGAGCTTCCTTGCCAAGCCAGACTTTCCTTGGCAGGAGAAGAGGGGAAAACTCAGCTGAAGGGGGTTTCCACTTTTCCAGAGCTTCTGCTAACACGAGCGGCTGCCCGGCTGCTTTTCCCAGGGCAATCTGTCAGGAGCAAAGAAACCTCCCTGGCAACAAGGGAACACATGAGCTGCAGGGACTTCCCAGCGCCTTGGCCCAGCTGGCTCACATGATGGCGTGGTGGGGAGCGCTTCTGCTCCGTTTCGGGAACCAAGAGTAGTCACAGCCTCGCCTTACCCTGGCTGCTAAAGTTTGAGTAACGAGGGGCCCGCTTTGGCATCGCCAGCCGCCTGACCAGGTGTTCCCCTTTCCAACTACCCACCATGTCAGCCACTGCATATGACACTGGGGAAACTGAGGGGGAGGAAAAGGGAAAAAAGGGGTCACCGGAGTGTCACAGATGAAGGGGAGGAAAGAAGGTCACTAATTGGCTGGTGGAAACATCCGGAAGCAGCCCGGGGCAAGCCGCTTATAGAATCATAGAATCATTTAGGTTGGAAAAGCCCTTTAAGATCATCCAGTCCAACCATTAACCTACACTACCAAGTCCACACTAAACCAATCAAGGGCAGACTAGACTAAACCATGTCCCCAAGTGCCACGTCTGCCCGTTTTCTGAACACCTCCAGGGATGGGGACTCCACCACCTCTCTGGGCAGCCTGTTCCAATTCTTGACCACCCTTTCCGTAAAGAAATTTTTCCTAATATCCAACCTAAACCTCCCCTGGTGCAGCTTCAGCCCATTTCCTCTCGTCCTATCGCTGACTACGTGGGAGTAGTGAGTCAGCCATGCCCATCCCTGCAGGACAACAGCGTGGGGCTGCTGGGATGAACAGCGGTTACAGGCTGAGATGGGATGGGGGAAGACTTTTTTCAGGGCGTTTCTGCCCAGCATTCTGCAGGCAGACACAAGACACTTGCACGTGTTCTGTTTCTTTTAAAACCAAAGCTGCGTGCCTCCTAGGATACGCCTGCAGGACCCTTTGCGGATCTACTCGCACCGCTCGCGTTCCCAGTTGCCTAAAAGCTAGAGAAAGCTTATCAGCACACGCTGACACTGAGCAAGCATCAGCTTCTGGGCCTCGCTACTGTTATCTAGCCAGCTTCTGCACACAGAGCAGCTAGGGAACCCTATCCCAGAGACGTGCAGCTTTTGGGTCATGCAAGCTAAATCACACCCAAACACACTCTGTTTCGGGCTCCTTTCCAAACCCAGGCCAGGTGCAGCCGTAGGATCTGAGCCAGTTGGGAAGACAGCATCACCACCCCTGGGAGAGGCTGTCGGGAGAGCGTGGCTTACCTCTCTGAGGTGGGGTCCTGGCAGTTGAGGGGGTACTTCAGCTCGATGACATTGCTGTTCTTCTCCCGCAGCAGCCCCTGCTGCTCAGTGTAGTACTGCACCAGCTCTGCAAGGGTGGCAAACTTCTCACCTCCGTAGAGGTCATAGTAATCCCCCGTGTTCTGGATCTTAATGTGCGTCACCTCATCGTTTCTTCTGAGGAAGGAAAGCAGACAAGATTGTAAGCATGAGAGAATGGAAACCCAGCACTGGCCTTGAGAGTCCAGATGCCTCCTGAACACCACCTACCTCTTCAAGCCGCACCACGCACTCTCCATTCACTCGGATGCCACTCATGCTGGCCATGCTTCTAGAGCAGGGGAAGGGATGGACGCTCCTTGGCCAAGGTTACTCAGCCAAGAACTGACTCTGTACCTCGCAAGCTCCCAGCCCGCTCTGCCTCCTAGACAACCTCACACAAAGGAGGTGAATAATTCGTCCTGTGCCATCCCTTCCGCTTCCTACACTACTTACCCTCTCAGCTAGATGAGACTCTGACCTCAACTCTGGTTTACAGTGAATGGTTTTCTATGCACAGGTGTACTTGCTATCATCTAATTACTTTAAAAAGAAAAAATACGGGGCGGGGCGGTGGGGGGGAAATCACCCAAACCAATATATTGCTTAGTATTTGCAAGCCCTATAAACCGTACCAAAGGGTTAATGCTTTCCCCTCTCCAGGCTCAAGGGAATATGGCTGGGTGCCTTTATCAGCCTGGTCAAGAGCCCCTTCACCCCAGCAAAGCCCAGCCTCCTTCATCAGAAGGCCACACTAACCCCCGAGAAGCAGGTTAATTGCATTTTAAATGCACTTAGCAGCAGCGCCCCTGAGCCAGGGAGGCATGGCTGGAAGCCCATTGCCTGATGGACGAGCTGGGTCAAAGAGAGATTCGTAAATCTGGGCAAATTTCTTGTTCTTTACCATGCTGAGCTGCTCCCAGCCTCTCTCAATTTGTTGCCAAAGCAACCGTGACAGCGAGATGCAGGAGACTCAAGGTGGTATAAGCAGCATAGAGGTCAGACAGAAAAGCCATTTCACTGAGTGGGCAACTAGAAAAGCTGCAGTGGTCTGTGCACGAGGTTAAATGGAAGGAAGAGCTGGATCCATGGCAGGGGCTCTGGGGGTCTCAGTAGTGATTCTGCCCCCGTTTCTGCCATCTTTCTGCAGCCGGGTGCAGCCCCCATAGCCATGCAGTGAAAGACCAGATATCTGGATGGTATTGGGAATCTAGCCCCAGCTCCACAAAATCATCTCCTGTTTAGCTTTCTTGGGCTGTAGGTATTGTCTACCTCAGAGTCTGGACCCTACCTCTTGATTTCAGAGAGAAGTTAAGATCTGGCCCTCAAATGCAAGCAGTGGCAAAAGGCTCTGCCTGCCTTAGGGGATTCTGGTGCAGCTGCAGGAACACAGCCAGGCTGTGCCAGCTGGATGTGCACACCAGGGTGTGTGCTAGCCTCATTTCCCTGCACTTGTCACTCCCGAAGGTTCCCGGTATCACGCTAAGTCTGCACAGGGTTTACAGCGGTGTCATTTTATTTGGATACCTTTGTGCAAGTTCCTCTAGTCTAGAACAAGCACTTGGAGCAGCACCAAGGTGGCCGAGTTCTCCTCTGGCAGAGGGGATCCAGCTGCTTTCCCATCCTGCCTTGCAGACGCAAGATGGACAACTGGCTCTGCAGGTGAGGTGAGAAACCACCTCCTCACTGGTACCTCCTCTTGAATTGAACTGTGCACTGCAAGGTCCAATAAAGTCCACCTGGGAGGACTCTGCTGACTTTGCAATAACTCACTCTCCCAAAAGGCCTGACAGCCAAGGACATCAAATTCCATGAGCCCGGGGCTGTGTATCTGCAGGACTGCGGGATGAGCGGTGAAGCGCACACAGAGCACTGTGAGAAGTACAGCAGCCTCTCACGGTGACAGGACGGTCGCTACCATCCCTGCGATGCGCTCACGTTGCCCAGAGGCGTGGCTGCCTTTATTGTAACAACTGCCATAGATTTTGCTATTTCCACATGTCTTGGGGATTTTAACAGCCACGACTTCTGGCATGCGAGGGGCTTGTCACATGCACAAGCAGATTAAATGCTGCCTGTCCAATGAGCCGTGCTAGAGTACACAGCAGCAGCAGCTCAGCAACAAGCCAAGGCCAAGCTGGAACTTGGCAAGGAGGTCTGTGTGCTAAGCCTTGAAGAGCCCGCAGAAACATTAACAGTGGTGCGCTAGCACAGCCACTGCATGCCCTTCCTCCAGACCTGCCTTTATTAGAGGCATGACATGATTAGACAGCAACAACCCCAGCCACATGCAAGCCACAGTCGCCACATGTCATGCGGTTCTCCCTAAAACACTGCCCTGACAGATGGCCGTATTCACATTTACTCCATCCCAATTGCTAAAGAGGACTTTGTCAATGTAGAATCAGCAGTTCCAGTTTGTGCTTACACAGCCCTCCTTGGATGCTTTGTCTGGCATTGAGGTGATTTCCAGCTAGTGCCAGTTCAGTGGCAACAACCAACCGAGTATGAACAGAGACAGCATCCACAGCATTACCATCATTCCACATGAACAGCAGAACAAAACCAGCCAAAGACCGACAAACAGGCCTGGGGTGCAAAAAATTTGCATCTGGATCCCAAACAGTCACACTACACCTTGACAACAAGGTCTTGGAGACAGAATCCAACCATCTGTAACATAGGGAACTGATGAGTGGCAGCCGGAGTATTTAGAACGACACAATTAACTCTTCTGCTACATCTGATAAGTGCAGTTCTGACCTGGCCTGCCACACCAGCTCCAGCTGTCCTATGGGCACAGACTTCAAAGTTTGGCAACCTAGGTTATGAGCAGAACTCACTAGATGGAAACGAAAACTGGCTGTGAAAGTCAGACCCCAGCCAGCCCCCCAATGCCAAAGCCTCTTCTCCGAGAGGAGCTGGCATGTGAAGTGCTTCGGCCGTTCACGCCAGCAGCTGGACACCAAGAGCCTTTGTGTAGCGCAGAAGGCAGCAGACGAAACTGTGGTTTTGCCACTTGGCCCGAGGCTCAAAAGCTCCCTTCTTTCCACAGCTCGGTCCCCACATTCCAACCCCATTTCAGACCTACAAAGGCTCAGTTCACAGACATCCCCCCGCTCCACTCCCAAGGCCTTTGAGCACTTCAGGGATGAAAAGCAGAGAGATAATCAGGGTCCTTTATCCCATGAGCACTCAAGGTCATGCTAAACACGGAGGGCATTGATCGAGCCCCATTTCCTTCCCATTTTCTTCTCTTAAAGCACCAAACTGAGCAGCAGAACTGGACTGCACAGTAGCAGCATCCATTACGCTGTGCCCTCAACATGCCGGCTGGTGAAATAAAGCACAGAGGAGATGCCCAAAGTCCCCAGCTGCGCTGTGCCGGAGGGCATGGCTACTTCTGCCTAAGAGACACAGCTCTCATACAGGGATGCAGCACTGCTTAACAGCAGATGCCAGCTTTTTTGGCAGCTTCAGAGTCAGCAATCAGACAATTGAGAGTTGCCTCCATTCCAAGCTAAGCTTCTTTACACTATCAGCACAACTCCTTAGCTAGATATCCAGGAGGGTTTCTTGATCCAAAATATTCCAAGTTGTGAATCTGTGTCCATACTGCAGTGACCACCAGCGTAGATGCAGTCTGCTCTTCTTCGCAATAGAGCACAGTCAACAAGAAGAGGACTCGCAAAAAACCCAGACGCACCCTTTTTTGTCACTGAAGGCAGAAGAGCCACTTCAAACGTCAGAAATACATTCGCCTGTCGCATCCCCAAAAGTCTTTTTTGGTCACGTGCTTTTCCTGCCTGCGTCAGACAGACAAAGCCTAGAACTTCACAGCATGCATATATGACCCCTCTGACAAGCTGCAAAAAGCAACCCAAAAAACCCCAAAGTCTCTCTACGGAAAAATAAAAAGAATCTCCCACAGGGTTTAGAAACTTCGCTGAATGTTTGCTTTCAATTAAATGATAGTTTGGCCTCTCAGAGAAAACTCACTATCTGCCAATACAACACAACAGAAGCAACTGTCATTTGCATGCAATTTCATATATACAACCCCGCGAATTCTAGAGATTAGGTACGGGTTTCAAATTCTCATACCCTATTCCTAGGAAGAAGCAATTCGGCTGACCGCCTGAGCCCTGTGCTCCCTTCAGGTGTGAGGAGCTCCAGAAGGTGCATAGAGGAGACCCGGGACATCCAAGTGCCCAGTGAACTCCCACAGTGGCACTGCTTCCCTATAGGGCATTTATGCTTTTTGCATTCCTGAACGTGCTTCCTGCTCCAAAGAGACCCAGCCTTTGGCCCTGGGAAGGGATGCGAAGCACAGACCGTTTGCCAAATGGCTGCCATGAAAAGGAGGCTTTCACCACCCTCCTCTGCCTTGCCAAACGTGTAAATAGCAGCAAACATGAGCACAAGTCAGCCAAAGGTATCCATCCGTTAGTATCACATCTCTAACTGAACGACGTGCTTCCAAATAAATTCAAGCCACTCCAGGACAAAAGGAAGATATTGTTGTCAGAGGAGAACATGCTTTCATCAGGGAAGAAGGGTCTTGTGACAAAAGCACTTAGCCAAGATTTGATAATCTGATGTTCAGCGCCTTCTCAGAGGCTCTCAAGGTGACTGTGGGCACATCATTTGTTTCCTAGTTGTACCATGAAGACAGCCCTTCCCTCAGTTGGCTGGCCTACCTTGGAAGCAGCAGAATCAGGCATACCTCTCACTGAGTATTTGTGTGGGTCTGGATTACAGGGTCTCAATAGGCAGGTGCTATTATGACAGGACACAAGGACAACTGTTTTAGAAAAGAGCCTCTTTCAAGCCTCCATCCATCCTTCTCCAGACCCAACTTTCTTCCTGTTCTGTATTCTGTTCCTCCTGCATCTGTATTGTCCACAGGCAGCAACTCAACCAACGTAACACACTTGTAGTATTGATTTACCCCTCTTCGCAGAGTGCATATTCTATAGGACATAAAATCCTCCTTCTTGATTGCATGTCTTAACCTGTACCCAGAGTGTATTTGTACACGCCTCTGGGGGTGGGGGGGGAAGTCCAGTTAAATATAGGAATGCTCAATGGAAGTGTTAATAGGGAAACTGCTCTGGGAGACTGTCGCTGTAACAAGA